AAAAGTAAACATAGAAAAAAAAAAAGAATAAAAACGGTAAATTACAATACAAAGATAAACGAAATACGGTAAAAAAAGTAAGATAAAACACGATAAAAATGGTATAAAAATACGGACAAAATAAAATACAATGGGAAAATAGATAGGCAAAAGCTCCTACAAAGGCTTAAAAATAATTGATAAAAGTAATTAGAATGAACAGGTGAACTTCAGTGTTCACTACAGCATCAGTGACCCTATTGCCTTGGCGGAGGTATGCGCTCTCTGAGTGCTTCTATATATCATTAATTTTTATTACCATTATCACCATCATTATTATTATCATTGTTATGGTCATTAAAAGTCTGCGAAGAGAAATTTAGGTAATTTTCTATATTACGTCCGCATAACCGATATCGACGATTTTGGTATCGTTGGATTCCTCTCACTCTATACAATGCAAATATGTAGCTTTTATTGCTCGGAAACCCCCCGTTAGCGGAAAACTCTGCCCCGATAGCAAGGGGGGGCATGGAAGGTTCCAGGGAAAATGCGGGGTTAAATAACACTAATAATATAACGCACAGTGAAGCTAACCATGGTTATTCACATGACTTTCCATTGCAGGGGGCTGTGCACCCTGCGACCCCCCAGGGGGGGCTACCGCCCCCAACCCCCGCCGAGGAAACAAAACCTCCACCACGTATTCCCGGCAGGCTAGAGCGTTACACAATCATCGTCGATGTCGGAGGGTTTTGCGCCTCTTTCGATGTTACACCGATGGCCTCAAGGTCGAGTTTCCCGTCCTCTGGAATAACGACATCCGTATTCCTAACCGAAATAACCGTCGCGTTCAGAAGTCAGTCATAGCCGCCGCGATGGACGAGTGTGGAGGGTGCTCGTACTCGGAGACGGATTTCCTGCGCGAAATATCGACCAGCCAGGAAGAAATGTTAGAGATGTCTGTGGCCGCAGGAAGAAGCACTTCGCAGGGTACCTGGCTCGGTGCATGTTCCTCATGCACTACCAGGACCTGAATGTGAGGTTGCACCACTTCCTGTGTGCTGCAGCGTCGCTGTATCCTCCGGCCTAGGACCTCCTGCCGGACGCACCCTGCCTCCTTCACCTTCTGCGGCAAAGGAGCGCCCTCCCCACTATTAGCGGCATCTATCAATTAGGTTAGTACCTCAAAAATCCTAGGTTATTGTAGGTTATCGGCTCCGCATCTAGTTCGTGTGCGCTCTATCCTGCCGTGAATACGTGGTGGAGGTTTTGTTTCCTCGGCGGGGGTTGGGGGGCAGTAGCCCCCTCCCAGGGTGTCGCAGGGGGCGCGGCCCCCTGCATTGGAAAGTCATGTGAATAACCATGATTATTTTCACTGTGGGGTTATATTATTAGGGTAATTTTATGTATTACGTCCGCCGCTCCGACATCGTCTCCCCCGCTATCGGGGCCAAGTTTGCCGCTAACGGGGGGTTTCCGAGCAATAAAAGCTACATATTTGCATTGTATAGAGTGAGAGGAATCCAGCGATACCAAAATCGTCAATATCGGTTATGCGGACGTAATATAGAAAATTACCGAAATTTAGTATCTAGAAGTCAATCTTGTCGAGGGTATTTTATAAAAAAATGAGAGAGAGAAAAAAAAAAACTGATTGGTATTCAACCAACCGCTCGAAACAATTAGAATAGTTATGCTTGAAATAATGGAACCCTGGCAGTAGCATTTTCTATGATCATTGCTCCACCATAGAAAATGTAAAGAAAGCAGTAAATGACGGGGATACTAATCAAAAGCTAAATGATATCCGTTGATGGCGTTTTTTATTTATTTATTTTTTATTACGCCGGCAGGTTTTAGAACGAAAATTTTTAATTGGTGGATACTTATGTCCAAGGGGTTTCGGAGGATCCTGAAAAAATATGGATTAAAGCATTGGTGTAAATTTTAAACTGGCCGCTGATGAAGAATTTTCAAATAATCATATTAACTAAAGGGGTATATAAACATAAGAATGGTGTGTGTGTGTGTTCATATATGCATATATATATGTATCACACACACACACACCACACACACACACACACACACACACATATATATTATATATATATATATATATATATATATATATATATATATATATATATATATATATATATAGATATATAGATAGATAGATAGATAGATAGATAGATATAGATATAGATATAGATTAGATAGAAGATAAAACAGAGAGATAGATAGATGTGTGTGTGCGTTCATTCCATTATATTCTTATTTCCGGCTTTCGAGAACAATTTATGGGAAAAAAGGAAAATAAAAGTCCTTTTAAGATCTAGTTCCCTGATTATTACTGGTTTCTTTCTATAATTCATCATACATAAAAATTATACCAAGTAATTTTTTTTCTATCTCTGTGCTGAGTTGATCATGCAATATTTATATAATTAATTTGTTGTAATACGTAGTGTTATTCCTCTCTCTCTCTCTCTCTCTCTTCTCTCTCTCTCTCTCTCTCTCTCTCTCTCTTTCACACACACACACACACACTGAAACTATCTCTCTCTCTCTCTCTCTCTCTCTCTCTCTCTCTCTCTCTCTCTCTCTCTCTCTCTATAATATATATATATATATATATATATATATATATATATATATCCCTCTCTCTCTTTCTCTTAATCTTACTCTCTCTCTCTCTTTTAATCTCAAAGTGTTTGTATCTGTTAATCTTTCCCTCAAAGATATCTGACATATTACTCTAGAAATTATGATAATAAAAAAATCGCTACAGTTTATGTGCTTTGCTTATCTTATCGTGTAACTGAAAAAAAATCCTATTAATTCATCCTGCAGTAGTTTCAACATTGCTAAGATCACTATATGTAGATCAACAGAATTCAAACACATTTTTCGAGAAAAAAAAATCCAGATCTCACTTCCTTCTATATGTGGCAAGTTTATCGAAGTTCTCTTATTTTTTTAAAAGTCATTTAATGAAAGATGGAATAATGCACTAGCCACATTGATAAGATGAATATATAACCTCTCCGATCGGGATTCGAACCCTCGCCGCCGTTGCAAGTGATTGCAAGACGGTCGCTCTAACCACTTATACAAGACCCACTTAAAGTAGCGTGCAACTAGGCGCTTACTAACATCCATAGATATTACCTATCTACTCATACATGAGTAAGGATAGCGAAGTTTTACACACACTCCCCGTGGGCACTCGGTATATATAGAAAAAGCAGTTCAAATCCCAAATCAGATAACCTGGGATGTATTCAGTAAAGTCATTTAATATTGAAAATCACGGTTGTGAAATCTTTTGATAACAATTGCCAATCTAAGAGTCGGATGTATGTACTACATCAATAAAATCCAAGGTGGATATATATCTATTCGTTAAAATAATCGGTTTCGTCTTGGATAACAAAAAATTAATTCATTTCTAATTACAAGTTAAAACAAGACATTTTTTTCTCTTCTCATATCTTTACGTATTCCTTTCCGGTAAACGAACTTTATTTTCGATATTTGAAAACCTTTACAAGAAAAGTAACAAACAAAAGCGATTTGGTTGTTATTATCGTTGTTATTTTTTTGTCTTAAACCGTAACAATTTTATTTAGTTTATTTTCTGTTCTTGTCGTCATTATTTATGTTTTTGTTTTCTCGACGCATGAAACGCATTCACACACACGCAATAAAGTGTTAGATCTTCTCTATCAGCATCAGATTCCTTATTACTTATAGATGTTATCAAGTTAGTCCGCCACATCATACTCATTATACTTATTCTATTTGCTGCACATCTAAATGTTTCTACAAAATCCCTGCATGTTATGAATTATGATATACATTCATGGGTTTTAATTTGGTGAATCTTTTGTAACAATTTAATAAAATTCTGGCCGCCATTTTTATTTTTTGTCAGCACCTCCCAAGACAGATATGATTTTTTGTTATCATTATTCACACCATTTTTTCCTCATTTCTTATTCATGTTTATCATCTATATTCGCGCTGTTATCACCATATTTTTTCTTTATGTGTCATCTTTATTATAATTTTGTCTTTTTTTCTAACCTTCAAACTGTGATGAACCATTTTTTTATTTATTTTTTTAAGCCAGCGTTGTTATATATTTCTGCTGCTAGTATTATCATTATTCATTTGTTTATTCTCACTTATCTTTATTATCTAGTTTTGTTGCTGTTATCACCATTTCTATTTCCTTATTTCTTATTCAACTTTATTATATATTTTAGTCTTTTTTATTTCAGTTTTTTTTTCATTATTACAACTTTTTCTTATTTCTTAGTCTTTATTACACATTTTTAGTCTTTATTACACATTTTTATAACTGTTATCACAAACATTTCTCATTATTTCTTGTCTATCTTTATCACATATTTTTTTCAATTCCACCCCACTATTCTAAACCATCTTTTATTTCCATATTTGTTAGTTATATTTATCGTATATCACCAGCATTGGCTTTCCTATTTCTCATCCACCTTTATTCATGTTTTTTTTTTGTAGACTAGACTACGCTAAACCATTAATTCTTTATTTTTTTCTTTTATTATCTCTTTAAAAAAAAAAAAAAAAAAATTCTTCATTTATCTAAACCTTAATTCTCTCAGGTAATACCATCATATTTTCTCAAACTATATGTTCTATTTTCACTGGTTATATCTCAGTTATTTATTTACTTTTTGCTTTTCCATCTCCCTCTCTCTGTCTCTGTCTGTCTGTCTGTCTGTCTGTCTGTCTGTCTGTCTCTCTTCTCTCTCTTCTCTCTCTCTCTCTCTCTCTCTCTCTCTCTCTCTCTCTCTCTCTCTCTCTCTCTCTCTCTTCGCTCATCTCTCTCTATTAATCTCTCACTCTCTCCCTCGCTCCATCTCTCTTTTTCTTTTAATCTCTCTCTCTCTCTCTCTTCCTCTCCTCTCTCCTCTCCCTCTCCCTCTCCCCCTTCTCTCTCTCCCTCTCCTCTCCCTCCCTCTCTCTCTCTCTCTCCTCTCTCTCTTCCCTCTCCCTCTCCCTCTCCCTCTCCTCTCCTCTCTCCCTCCCCCCCCCCCTCTCTCTCTCTCTCTCACTTCCTCTCACACAGCAGAGAGAGACGAGGGCGGGGAATGCGTGGAACAGCGGGACACGGAACACGCATCGCTCTGTTCTGCTGTTCCTGTTCCTTCGTCGGACCAGCAGGAACGGAACGAGGAGGAGGAAGGAGAAGGCGAAGAAGGGGAGGGTGACGAAGGAGGGGAACAAAAAGGAGAGGGTGAAGGAGGGGAGGGTGAAGAGGAGGGGAATAGAAGGAGAGGGTGAAGGAGGGGAGGGTGACGAAGGTGGGGAATAAGAAGGAGAGGGTGAAGGAGGAGGGAATGAGGGTGAAGGAGGGGAGGGTTGTGGAGATTACAGAAGGAGAGGGTGGAGGAGAGATCGACGAAGGAGGCGTAGAAGGAGGTGGATAAGAAGGAGAGGAATAAGAAGTCGAAGACGAAGAAGGCGATGAAGGAGGTGGATAAGACCCCGAAGACGAAGGAGAAGAGGTCAAGCGAGGTCGTCTCGAGGGCGACTCCAGCGTAGGAGGGAGAGGCCGAGACGAGGACCCCGAGGAGGAGGACGACCTCGAAGACCTCGGCGCTCCTCGCAGCCTGGAGGTCGACCTTGCTGATGGCGCGGCGGTGGTCGACCTCGTACTCGAACTGGAGGACAAGGTGGAGGCTGACCTCCTCGAGAATCTGGAGGGTAACCTACGAGAAAGTGTTTTTGAGTGAATGAATGGGATTGGACGAATAGTAACATTGGTTATATAATAATAACATTGTTAGTGATGATGATGATGATGATGATGATGATGATGATGATGATGATGATGATGATGATGATGATGATGATTGATGATGATGATGATGATAATGATGATGATGATGATGATGATGATGATGATGGTGGTGGTGGTGTTGATGATGATAATGATGATGATGATGATTGATGATGATGATGATGAAATGAGATGAGATGATGATGATGACAGTAATAACGACAATTATCATCATCATCATCATCAATATCACCATCATTATTATCTTAATAATCATCATCATCATCAGCAGCGTGCCATACTTCCCCCAGGTTGGCACCAAGTCCACGCCCGCGCCCTCAAGCACCTGGAGGCACTCACGCCCACACCCAAAAGCTCCTTAGAGAGATAATTGACACCAGTCCATGGAGGATGCAGATCCATTGTCATAGTTGCAACAGTACTATGGTCATAAAAGGAGTAGAAGAAGAAGAAAGAGGTGAAGAAGAGGAAAAAGAAGATGTAGAAGAAGGAAGAAGTAGAAGAAAGAAGAAGAAGTAAAGAAAAAAGGAAAAAGAAAGAGAAGAAGAAAAAGAAGACGAAGAAGAAGAAGAAGGAAAAAGAAGAAGAAGAAAGAAGAAGAAGAAGAAGAAAGAAGAAGAAGAGAAGAAGAAAAAGAAAAGAAAAGAAAAGTAAAAGAAGAAGAAAAAGAAGAAGAAGAAGAGAAGAAGAAAAAGAAGAAAAGAAGAAAAAAGAAAAAGAAGGAGAAGAAATAGAAGAAGAAGAAAAGAAGAGGAAAGAAGAAGGAGAAGAAGAAATAGAAGAGAAAGAAGTAGAAGAAGAGGAAGAAGGAAAAACAACAATAAATCAAAAGAATTATCATCTGATGACATCATTCCCCCAGACCTCACCTTGAGGAACTCGACCCCGCGGCTCCAACAACCTCCACCTCGCCCTCGACCTCGTCCTCGACCGTCTCCGCTCCCCTCGTCCTCGAACGCGACCCCAACCTCGCCCTCAGGGTCTCGAGGTCGACTCCCGACGCCCTCGAGGACCAGTTGGAGGACCAGGTGGACTCAGCGAGTGGGATCCAGTCCTCACCGCGGCTCGAGAATTGGCGCGAGAGTTCGAGTGCCCAGTCCAGGTCGGGGTCCTGGGGGTGGGGTATGGGGTGAGGAAGGAGAAGGGGTGAAGGGGTGAGGGGGAGGGGAAGGGGAAAGGGAGGGGAGGAGGGGAAGGGGGAAGGGGGCATGGGGAGGGAGGAGGGGGAGGGGGAGGGAGGAGGGGGTATGGGAAAGGGGGAGGGGGGAAGGGGGAGGGGGAGTGAGGGGAAGGGAGGAGGGGGGAGGGGAATGGGGATATGGGGAGGGAGGAGGGGGAGGGAGAGAGGGAAGGGTCGGAAGGGTGGAGGGGAAGGGGAATGGGGAAGGAGAAGGGGGAAGGGTGAAGGGATGGGGATTAGGAAGGGGTTTGGACGAGGGAAGGGAAGAGGGGGAGGGAGGAAGGGTAAGGAGCAGGAGGAAGCGGAAAGGAGGGGAGGGGGAATGGGGAGAGGGAGGGGAAAAAAAGGAGAAGGTGAAATGGGGGAGGGGGATGGGGGGAGGAAGGACGAGGGGAAAGGGAAAGGGAGGGGAGGGGGGGGGGGAAGGTGGGGGAGAAAGAGATATGTTAAGTATCTCAATAACGTCATATTTTGATTCATTAAT